GTTTTGGCCTCATACAGTGACATTTTCGACACCGACGATCGTCCCTTGGGCCAGACTAAAATTGTCACTCACCGAATCAACACTGGTGACTCTGCGCCCATTCACCGTCGGCCGTACCCTGTGTCAGCGTCTGAGCGAGAAGTAATTCAGAAAGAAGTGGCCAAAATGCTTACGAAAAACGTAATCAAACCATCAACGAGCCCTTGGGCATCTCCCGTGATATTGGTAAAAAAGAAAGACGGCTCATGGCATTTCTGCGTTGATTATCGCCACCTCAACAAAATTACCAAAAAAGACGTGTACCCTCTACCCCGCATTGACGATGCCCTTGATTGCCTCTATGGCACACCTTCTTTTCATCTCTTGACCTCCGATCTGGCTACTGGCAAATTGCTGTAGATGACATGGACTGAGAAAAGACCGCTTTCATTACCCCTGACGGTCTTTACCGATTCAAGGTCATGCCATTCGGACTCTGCAACGCTCCAGCAACCTTCGAGAGAATGATGGACCCGCTCCTACAAGGATTTAAATGGTCGACATGTTTGTGTTACCTGGACGACGTGATCATTTTCTCACCTACCTTTGCAACCAACCTTGAACGCCTTTCGACCATTCTATCCATATTTCGACGGGCCGGCCTGCAGCTCAATTCCTCCAAGCGCCACTTCGGTCTTCGTCAGATTACCGTATTGGGTCATCTTGTTGACACTGCCAGCGTACGGCCAGACCTGGCGAAAGTACCCGCTGTAACAAACTTCCCAGTCCTACGCTCTGTCCATGGTGTTCGCAGTTTCGTGGGCCTCTGCTCCTACTTTTGCCCGTTCGAGAAAAACTTTGCTGCACTCGCACGGCCACTCACCGACCTTCTCAAACAAGACGTCCCATTTTGTTGGGGCCCTCCTCAAGCTGACGCCTTCTCTCAGCTAATCACCGCTCTAACGACACCTCCTATTCTTGCACATTTCGACCCCGATGCTCCTACAGAAGTGCGAACAGACGCGAGTGGTCACAGAATTGGTGCAGTTTTGACGCAAATTCAGCGGGGCAACGACCGTGTAATCGCGTATGCAAGCCGTCTGCTTTCTAAGTCTGAACGCAATCATTCTATAACAAAACGGGAATGTCTCGCTCTTGTTTGGGCGGTTTCAAAATTCCGTCCTTACTCGTATGGCCGCCCTTTCTGTGTCATCACAAATCATCACGCGTTGTGTTGGCTTTCTTCTCTGAAGGACCCCACTGGACGACTGCCTATAAGTCTGGACGTCTCCATCTGGACGCCGATTGCTTATCCCGCTACCATGTTGATCAGCCCGACGAACCAGACATCGAGCCTACCCTCAGCGTCATGTCAATGTCCCAGTTTCTTCAGATTGGTGATTAACAACGTCGTGATGCTTCTCTGCGACAACTTTCTGACCGTCTCGAATCTGCTCCGAATGACACGTCACTTTGCATGTACATCCTCCTGAATGGCACGCCGTACCGTCGTAGCCTCCAGCCAGATGGCCCTGAGCTCCTTCTTGTCGTGCCGAAAAATCTGCGTTCAACCGTGCTGTACGAGCTTCACGATGAACCAACTGCTGGTCATCTGGTTGTATATCGGACGTACGACCGCGTGCGTCGCCGCTTCTTTTGGCGCGGTCTCGCCCGGTCCGTTCGCCCTTACGTGTCCTCCTCCGATAAATGCCAACGTAGGAAGCGACCTACTGTGCCCCCGGCTGGACTTCTTCAACCGATCTTCATCCCAACCGAACTTTTCTTCCGTGTTGGTATAGATCTTTTCGGTTCTTTTCCCGAGTCGAAATCGGGCAACAAGTGGGTTGCCGTTGCTATAGACTACGTGACTAGGTACGCCATCACTCGAGCGCTCCCCACCAGCACCGCTATTGACGTTGCAGACTTTTTGTTCCACGATGTCATCCTACACCATGGCGCTCCTCGCCAATTACTCACGGATCGCGGCCGCTCATTTTTGTCCAATGTAATCGACAATCTTCTGCGCTCTTCCTCGACGCACCACAAGCTGACCACTTCCTACCATCCCCAAATAAATGGCCGTACCGTAACGGCTAAATCGGACCCTCACGGACATGCTCGCGATGTATGTATCCTACGACCACCATGACTGGAACCTGGCGCTACCTCACGTGACCTTCGCGTACAATTCTTCGCGCCACGACACTACTGGTTGTTCACCCTTTTATTTGCTTTATGGCCGTGATCTGAAGTTACCACTCGACACCCTACTTCTAACCACTACAACGCCGTCAACCGAATATGCACGCGACGCTATTGCTCGTGCCGACCACGCACGTCAGATCGCCCGCTTTGGACTTTCGGCTTCGCAAGCCACCCAGAAAGCCATCTACGACAGCCGGCATGCTGACGTTCACTTCCCATCCGGCTCTCTTGTTCTCCTGTGGTGCCCACTTCGTCGAGTTGGCTTATCAGAGAAGTTGTTGTCTCGCTATGTGGGTCCTTACTGTATCATCCGCCAGGTAACCGACGTCACCTATGAGATCATTCCTGCATCTGAGGCCACAAGCTTGCCTGCAACCACACCCAGTGATGTTGTGCACGTCAGCAGGCTAAAACCTTACCACCTGCCTACTGAAGACCATAGTTAATGTGCACCGAGACGGCGCTTTTACCGCCGGGGGGGGTAATGCTACGTAGCTGACATATCAGAGGTCAGAAGACGACAACGAGGAAGTGGTCTGTCGGTTGTGCGTGTCGTCTTCCATCTTAGTCGACGCCATACGCATCAGTTTGAATATAGATTTTAAATAGACACGTCTCGTGTCATTTTTACGTAACAATATCACACCATTGGCAACCAATCAATCCAAAGCCTCAAAAACCTTGGTTGTCAAAGCATATGGCACCGTACGTGCTTCGCAAAAGTGGGGCGTGGCATTTTCGTTCAGGGTAAGCTTCACCGGTGGACCTTTGTATGGTCCTAAACCTGGCGCAAACACATCTTCGAACTCCTTGAGCAAAGTGTGAAGTTCCAGGCTCATGCAGTCTACCTTGCGTGTGTTGAGGTTTGCAACGACATGTAGCCTCAACATGGCCACTCGACAATTGTTAAATGTCTTGATGGTATCCCTTCCGCATAACGCTGGTCCAGGTGTATCTACGATAACCAGGGTGCCCTGTACGTCGTGCCTCTCGGAGGTCCCTTTCATGTGCACTTCCTGGCTCATGCAGTCTACCTTGCGTGAGTTGAGGTTTGCGACGACATGTAGCCTCAACATGGCCCCTCCACAATTGTTAAATGCCTGGTATCCCTTCCGCATAACGCTGGTCCAAGTGTATCCACGATAACCAGGGTGCCCTGTACGTCGTGCCTCTCAGAGGTCCCTTTCATGTGCACTTCTCCAACCACTGGAAGTTCTCCCAAAAAACATGACAATTTGAGAGTGGTCCTGCTTGGAGCCAGCCATCTGCTTTGATTCTGCTCGAACAGGCTCATTGAAATAACGCTAAAAGGTAACCCCGTATTTATCAACATAGTAAGTGGAACATCATCCCAAGTAATTTTTTTGAAAATCGGCTTAACCATGCGACCAGAAGTCGTTCTATGAGTCACTATAGTATAAAGCTTCTCATCTTCTGAGCTATCGTCAGCTGCTGCCGACACGACATAAGCGCCATGGGGCTTTCGCTGGGTTTCTTCCTGGCACATTCGAGCGACGTGTCCTCGTTTACTGCATCGGCGGTAGACTGTACGAACGTGACAGCACTGCTCATTCGAGTGAGCTTCACTGCCACACCTATGACAAGCTGTCATGCCTTCGGCCTTCAATCACCCTTTTCATGGCCTATTTTGACGCATGAATTGGATGCTACTCTGATCAGTAGATTGCATGCTTGTAGCATTCGCAGTCACATCCTGAGCTTCAATAACGAAATCCTCTCCTTACGTTAGTGTCAGGTTTCTGAGAGTCAGCAAATTTCGTCTCACATCTTCATCTAAGACTCCACATACGACTCGGTCTCGTAGCATGGGTTCGAGCGACGATCCGAAATTGCATTTTTCTGCCAGTCACCATATTTCAGCAACAAATTCCTGTACCCACAATTGCTGTTCTAAAATGTTTTCTTACTCATATTACTGCAACCCCTTTTTTAACATCAAGCCTGCCTAAAGCAAGCTTGAAAACAAGCTCGAAGCATCTGTATAGCTCAGTGGTAGAATACTAAGCTAGCACGCAGTGATCCCGGGTTCAAATCTCCCTATATCCCTGGTGTTTTTGAGGTTCTTTTTTTTTTCTTATTTCTTGTGATAGCGTTTACGAACACCGGCGGCGGTGGACAACTACGACACCATCCGTGACTCGTGTTCTGATCTCATAACAGCTTTTGCTGTAAATGTAGTGCTCAATAACCACACATACGCTTTTCAGCACTGTATATCATATGGGAATCAGTGGTATCTCACTACAGCCTTTCTTCTCACATTCAAGCTGCTCAGCGGCCCACAATACCTTGGCGACATCACACCAAAAAAAAAACCATCTGCCATACACGCACACCCCAAATAACTGTACTAAAACACAGAAAACATGAAGCGAGCTATCCCCCACACACGGTCACATGCAAAAAAAAACAAGAAAAAGCACACGAAAAAGCACACGAACATGTGTAAATCTCGCGGCGACCACATTGCAATATGAAGTGTGGTCTGCTTTAATGACTGGAGTATTAGTGCTCTCACCAAAAATGTGGCTGCAACTGTCAATTCAGCCAAGATACGCTCACCCTTTGATGACAACGCCACACAATAGGCCGCACCTTCTTTCTTATCTAGCGACCGTGCTAATATCAACAGTGCACTACTGAATATGATTGCACAATGAAATAAATGTGGCAGTAGCAATAAATCAGATTTATGACAGCAGGTGGCTATGTCTGCTGGCTTTGCAGTGGCACTCAATACGTTGATATCGATGTGCGTGCACCTTGAGCCTTAACTAAAGCTCTATGCAACTCACTTGTCCACAAGTCCGGCGAATGGCTGCACCTGCAAGGAAGTGCCCACGATGAGCAGCAGGTCACACCTGGCAAAGTCCTATGCGCATGGGGAAAAAAGGCAATATGAAAGATGCCAGTTGACTGAGAACAGCTGGTTAACATAAAGGGAAACAAAATATATCAGCAAATGGGCTTACTTACTGCCGTACAAAGCAGCGATCGCTGCTTTATATGGCAGTAAGTGATTCCCTTCATAATGGTTAGACTTTATCGATAAAGTTCAACCCTAATGAAGCGACTTTGCGGTGCCCAAACTGAAAACTTTGTCATGTCAAAAATTGGCACCCGCAGCCAATCCACCAAGAGATATTCTTGCAGGAGTCGAGGTAAGTGTGGAGCACCGATGCCGACCTACCTCAACCAATCAGGACGCAACACTTAATTGTGATCACTGCCTCCAGGGGCTCATGGCGGTAATGCTGGCGCATTTGTTCTATGTTCATGTGCTCGCACGTGCTACTTTATTTGCACATGAAGGCATCTGTTTTCCAGCATGAACTGAACAAGCAAGTACAGCTTGTCCACTGATGATTACAATGGCTGACCAAGCAGTCTAGACAGGTCACCTGCCGCGCAAAGTTTACAGAGTATGCTGCTGATGGCTCAAAGACGTTTACCGTTTGATCTTAACATGAGGAGCGATGCAGCGAAAACATGACATCTCACCTTGGCACATTTCTCAACATGCATTGTTGCAAAATGTTACTCCATGAAGGTCACGCTTACAGCTCGTTCTGCATGCATTACAAAAAAACCCACACTGAGCCTTGAGGAAGACAAGTTTGCTTGTCAAAACGTTGGCTCAACGCAACCCCTGTTTTTTCACCCACATTCTGCAATCACTCACCAATGCATCCTGACACAAAAATGTTTCTAGGTTTAAAGGAAAAAAAAACTACATATTCATAATACTGCACACTGAGGATCATACAAAACTTTTGAAGATGCTCCTTTTTTAGTGCCTTCACATTGTCTTATAGTATTAAAGAAAGAACGTTTGGTCATGCTGGTGTTGGAATTAGAAAAGTATAAATTACTGACTTACATCTGTTATTAGCTCCAAGAAAGGCAGCGCTGTGATTGTGGTGATGTAATGACAGTGACATCTTGGCATAGACTTGTCTGCTCTCCTAGTGATCCCCATTTTTTTAGACTTGACGTGTTCACACTAGTTGGCGGTACAGTGGTGATTACTCCAAGCTTGGATAGTGAGGCTTAAAATGTACAATCTGCTGTGTAAACGTAAGCTTCAACAAAAAAGGATGATACTTCATCAGAACAAGAAAGCACTCAAGGTGTCCTATGCATATCTCAAGAAATTGGAGTAATGAAAATATTTCTGCTAAATGGTTCTAACATAATTATGGGTTGCCTTAGACTCCAAGCACAGTTAAAGTAGATGTTCCTAAGAGTTACAGAAAAATTACGATATTTTTAACTGACAAACCATTTTACATCTTACCATGCGAGTCTTGTCACTTCTGCAAATAATCTAGGTGATTTGACGAACTTGCTTTCTGCAACAGGTGACTTTTGATAAATTTGTGAGCCAGAACTCACTTTGCATATTTGAAAAATTTAACAAAAGAATAAAGATTTAAAGAATGCTGCAATATTGGTACATTAGGCATGTACAAACTTCTCAAAAGTCCTCAGCAGTCACACCTTGCTTTGCATAAACACCTGGTATAATCAATCGACACATTGCAAACAGAAATTTTGACCTCATATGGAGCACTGCAAGTGAGCACTTAATTGAAGCAAATGATGTGGTCCACACACAGCATTCACTTCAGACAGACCACATCATTTCCCTCAGAGACCAGCTCGTCTCATACGCCTTTTCCACATACCACACAAGCATTGCTGCAATGACACTTTTTAAAGCTACAGGCTAGCAGCAATTGGCTGAGCAATTAACTACAACTTGTTCTAGCACTAAAATTATAGCGAGAAAATCGTAGAACTAAACTGAGTGAAAAAGTACTCAAGGAAAGCTACAACAGCTGCGGCAGTTTTATGGGCGGACACTTTCAAGATATTTTGCTAGACACTGCATAATGCATATGTTTTTGAGACTGTATGCCGTCACTGCCAGAAAAACTGTCTGCAGATATGCAGATGTGTCTGTAAAACTTGCCCACGTGAAGCCATCACATTTCCTGAAAGAACCAGCAGAGGACAGCATAATTTATTATAGTATGATGTTTAATTTATGTTGACACATGCCACCCTTGAAGAACGAGCGCTGTGGCTTATACTCGTTTTGGGTGTAAAGAAGAAGAGTTTTGTTGCTGGTTCCAGTCAACTCCTGGCTGTTGGTCTTCTTTTGCATGCCACCCTTGAAGAAGGAGCACTGTGGCTCATACTCCTTTTGGATGTGAAGAAGAAGAGAACGTTTTGTTGCTGGTTGCAGTCAATTCCTGGCTGTTGGTCTTGTTTCGTTTGCGAAATTACTGGAGGAGGTGCTGGGTAAAGGGCGTCTGGTTAACTCTCGACGTAGTAGCAAAGCAGTCTCGAACTGAGCCGAGTATATGGAAAAGTTTTTCTCGTTGAGCTGAAGGTAGACGCTCGTTCCCTTCGCGAGTGCTTGTGAAGGCCTTGTCAGGACGGTTATTCAATGAAAGTGAAGCTAACGTGGACGAACTTTGGTTATCGGCAAGTTCTTCAAAATAGCGACTGCAGTAGCGATTAAAAACAATGTTAAATTTACTCGTTTAGATCGTATATGTAATCACGAAAGCGTGTGGTGCAAACTGAACTTTTTTCGTAAGAATATACTTTTGGGAGGTGTTCATCGGCCTCCAAATGCACCCCCCGAATACTTAGAAGCACTCTACGATTATCTGCTACAAAATACAAATTCACGTTCAAACATTTTTATAAGTGGGGATTTCAACTTGCCCAGCATTAATTGGCCCAATCTTTCACATGATGGCAAGGACTTTCGAAATGCTGAACCACTGTTGTTAACTGCATTTACTTTTTCTTTAAATCAATTGGTTTCTGATGCTACCATGATTAATAGTTTTTCTGTACTAGACCTAGCGTTTGCAAGCAGCTCGCTCGAAGAGTGTTCGGTCGCTGTGAAAGAAGGCATCACAAATAACTCTTTGTAGAGTGTCCGATTTCAGGTTTCCCACCCACTTTTAAACATTCGGACTCATTTCTCAGAGACTACAAGCATGCACTCGATGATGCTGTACTTAATTACATGGAATCCTCATTTCTTTCTTTCAGCAATTTGGTTGACGTTAATAAATTGTGGTCACGTTTTAAAGCTATAGTATTACACTGTGAAAGCAGCTATGTGCCATTTAAAAAGAAATGTATTAACAGAGAACACCCATGGATGAACCGTGATTTGATTCATATGAAGCGCAAAACCAAACGCTGTCGTAAACGTGGTGACAAGAAACGGCTACAAAGTCTAGTACACATTTTTCATGAAAAGATGCATGTAGCAAGAGACCATTTTTTTTCGTCTACTCTGTTTTCCTTCATCACAGACCAACCGGAAAAATTTTGGTGTTACTTATCGAAAGATAAAAAAAGCATCACAGAGATAAAAACATCTGATGGAACTACTGATAATGCTGCTGTCATTGCTCAAAGTTTAAACGCCTTTTTTCAGTCCGTATTTACGCGGACGGCCTCACATGCACACTTGCCAGCTTATACGCTCGTCAAACATATGCCTAAAGTATATTCAAGTAAAGAAGGTATCTTTAGCCTCTTGTGTAAATTAGACACAAAGAAATCTCCGGGTCCTGATGATATCTCAAATGTTGTTCTTAGTAGATATGCAGTCTGGGTTTCAGAATATTTGTATAAGATATATGTAACTTCCTTAGAAACTTGTGTGATACCTGACGACTGGCGCTCTGCGAGAATAGTCCCAATTCATAAATCTGGCTCACCATTAGAATCAAACAACTATAGGTCAGTTTCCCTTACATCCACAGCTTGTAAGCTACTAGAACACATAATGTTTAAGGCAATTATGACACATTTGGAAGACAATAAACTGCTTCACGACAACCAACACGGATTTAGGTCTGGCCTATCAACTTCAACTCAATTAGCCGAGATCACTCATGACTTTGCAAATTCACTAAACTTTAAGGGCCAGATCGATGCAGTGTTTTTAGATTTTTCTAAAGCGTTTGATGCAGTAATACACAATGATTTCATACGAAACTGTCAGCTATTGGTGTTGATCAGAACATTGTCCGTTGGGTTGCATGCTATTTGTCATCACGGAAACAATATGTGATGGTCAATGACGACGTTTCTGACTCATTAGATGTACACTCAGGAGTGCCGCAAGGATCCGTGCTTGCACCATTATTGTTTTTAGTATACATAAATGATATTTATTTCTCAGTTCAATCACCTGTGAAAATCCGACCTTTTGCGAACGATTGTGTTATTTATGCCGACATTGTTCAGCATTCTGATCAAGCCAGACTCAACGATGCATTGCAATCTATCTGCACCTGGTGTGGTAAGAGGGGCTTGAAGCTCAACATATCAAAAACGGCATCCATCACAGTTACGAACAAACAAAACCCATTAGAATTCCAATATACTATTAATAACGCTTATGTTAAAAAGGCTAGCACAAGTGAAATATCTGGGTGTCACGCTTACAAGCAATTTAAATTGGGAAACTCATATAGATAATATCTGTAGCAATGCGCTAAAGAAGTTAGCATTTTTTAAAACGTAAACTGCGTCACACTTCACCTTCTATAAAAATAATAGCTTACAAAGCGCTTATCAGGCCTAAGTTAGAATATGCAGACCTGGTCTGGGTGCTGTATAAAAAATACTTAATTAAAAAAATAGAGAGGATCCAAAACCTGGCTCTGAGGTTCATTTATTCTAGCTACTCTCATTTTGCAAGCGTCTCTGCCCTTCGCGAGAAGGCAAATCTGAAAACACTCCCTCATCGTAGAATAGTCTCTCGATTAAAATTCATCTATCAATTGCACCATGGTCACTTCAAAATTCCACCCAATCGCTACATAACCA